GACTGGTGCCATTTGGGAATGACCTCTTCCCCTCCCACATCAGAGGTCAGTCCCAGAGTATGGACTTGCATCACTGCCTGAAATCTTCACCAGTGAAGACATACTCACCAAGCCCAGACTACCCACCAAAGTCTCTGCTCACCCTGGTCAGATTGCAACCACTGCCAGACAATACACCACCCCTGAGAAATTGTGCAAACCACCACCACCCTGAGGACCCACCCTAACATGATAGAGCTGTCCCTTCCGACCAGCAGAGCTCCAGAAATCTCCAAGCTCTTCAATGTACTCCCTCCATAACTTACCGGGCATCTGACAGAATCGAACTCAGCAGCCTCGCCTGCCTTCTCTCCCCAAGGGCCTCAAGCTATTTGTCACTTTCAATTCAGCAGTCCTCCCTTCCTCTAGGTACACCAGCAACTTCTCAAATGAGCAGCGCGCCTCTCCCCACGCTTCCATTCCTTGAGGTGGTATTCGGAATGGCAGAGCCCTCATGGTAGGCTGTGGCTTGCAGACAGTGGAACAATGCAGTACAGCTAGACCAAAGCAGCCATCACCCTCCACAACCTCCAACCATCCCCCCAATCCCACCTCTGCCCAAATCCCTACCACGCAACAGTTCTTCTGTGCTTCACCACCAGTCTCAAACCGCAATCCACCATGGGATCCCTGGCCAACATTACAGAAAGGAAACGGGGAAGGGGCAAGTGGAAGGACATGTCAGTTAATCCAGTCACAACTGACTCTCTATCATTCATTTACCAATATCGGAATTCTGCTAAAGTAGGAGTGATACTGTCAATTTAGAAAATACAGCTATAATTTTCTAATATTTTTTCACTGTTAAGGAAAACCCTGTGGAACCCAAATCTAACTTCAACATTAATTGTCATAGGAATCAATACTTCACGTTAAGTATTTTCTCTTAAAGTCATGATTTTCAGGAATTTAAACACAACTTTAAGTGAGGGCCCTCTCCAATTAGAGTGTAAACTGAAAGCCAGAAGAAGAAGAGTTTGCTAAAAGTCATTGTTTTGTGAAAAAATAAACTTTTGTTGTGTATCCAAAGATCAAAACAGCACAATGCAAATTTTTTAAAGTTTAAAAAGATACAAAACTCAAAGAGATAAGCTGAAAAGATATGAATGATGCAAAGTTACAGTCTTTCTCTCCAACTTGAAAAAAAAGGTGATTCTACACTTTTCAGCATTTTAATCTTCAAATCTTTTCTCCAATTCAAAGTTGCTTGCTCATTAGGCACAATTAAAATTGGTTCCTGTACCTTTCTTTTTACTGATTTCTAAGCACATTTTTCCAACACAAATAGATGAATAATTCTGAAACATCTAGAAGTTCTTTTACATTAGTTAACAGAAATTTTTAAAACATTGCACAAAGAAACATAAGAAGACAGAAATTAATCTTTGAACAAAGACAAAAGTTGCTGGAAAAGCTCAGCAGGCCTGGCAGCATCTGTGAAGGAAAAAACAGAATTAACATTTCAGGTCCGGTGACCCTTCCTCAGAACTGGGCTCCGAAACGTTAACTCTGTTTTTCCTTCACAGATGCTGCCAGACCTGCTGAGCTTTTCCAGCAACTTCGTCTTTGTTCCTGATTTACAGCATCCGCAGTTCTTTCGGTTTTTATTTAGAAATTAATCTTTGTTCCTTTAAATATAAATTACAAATGAAAAACAAACTTTTTAATCAATCTTCACTATCCTATAATGCAAAAACAAAACAATATTAAAAATAGTGTTTTAAGAAACTTGCTGATGAAGTCTCAATATTTAACAGTGGAAATGAGCATTCAATTGAAAACACTGGACAGCAAAACCAGATGCATCAACAATTTTAAAATAAGTCAGCAGCTTTCAAGTGAAGTATTTAAATAGGAGAAGTATCAACAGTTAAATGCAGTTACAATGGAGAAAGACATTACACCTCCAAACACATTTAACATTCTTGAGAGACAACAAGGCGTAGAGCTGGATGAACACAGCAGGCCAAGCAGCATCATAGGAGCAGGAAGGCTGACGTTTTGGGCCTAGACCCTTCTTCAGAAATGGGGGAGGGGAAGGGGGTTCTGAAATAAATAGGGAGAGAGGGGGAGGCGGATAGAAGATGGATAGAGGAGAAGATACGTAGAGAGGAGACAGACAGGTCAGAGAGGTGACAGACAGGTCAGAGAGGCGGGAATGGAGCCAGTAAAGGGGAGTGTAGGTGGGGAGGTAGGGAGGAGATAGGTCAGTCCAGGGAGGATGGACAGGTCAAGGGGGGCGGGAGGAGGCTAGTAGGTAGGAGATGGGTGTGGGGCTTGAGGTGGGAGGAGGGGATAGGTGGGAGGAAGGAGATAGAAGCAGGCGGTGCGGGGTTGGGGAACGATGAGGTTGGAGGCTGTGGGTGGGAGGTCACCTGAGGTGATGAGGTTGTGGATGGTTTGGGAGATGATGGTTTGGTGCTTGAGGGTGGGGTCATGATCAAGGGGGCGGTAGGAGGTGGTGTCGGAGCGTAGGCGCCTGGCCTCGGTGATGTAGAGGTCAGTGCGCCATACTACAACTGCGCCTCCCTTGTCCAAATGATTTCACAAGCTTCAAAATCTCCCCTCCCCCTACCGCATCCCAAAACCAGCCCAGCTCGTCCCCGCCTCCCTAACCTGTCCTTCCTCCCACCCATCCCCTCCTCCCACCTCAAGGCTCACCCACATCTCCTACCTACTAACCTCATCCCGCCCCCTTGACCTCTCCGTCCTCCCTGGACTGATCTATCCCCTCCCTACCTCTGCACATAGTCGGTATGGCTGACATTTCCTACTATCATAGCATACAGCAGATGTGGATCCTGCACTTTTGCCCATCAATCTGAAACTGACTCCACCTACTCTGGTCATTGTCTCTTCCAATTCCAATGAGCTTATAGTCAATCAGCACCAGGTTGCCAGATACCTCTCCAGAGTCTTCAACTCCCTTTTTGCCTCGCACTACCCTAACAGCCCCCAGGTCCAGATCTAGCACATTGAAGTTTTCCTACAACTTTCCTCTCTGCCCCCTGAGTCCCAGAAATACGCCTTAATGACGCCTACCCGGGTCTGTTGTGATTCCCCTACTGCTTGTAATATCTCTACAGGACTGACTATTGCCCACTCTGCGGCCTATAAACAGAAGTATCCCCTAACAGTGATGGGCTGAGCAGACAACTGACTGTGGCTAAGCCCCTGGACCATATGTGGACTGTGCCCCTCACCAACAGCAGCCCCTCTCCCCTTGACTGGACTGAGGACTAGCCCACACCCACTTTGCATCATGGCTATTTGATCGAACAAATGTTCAATGGTTTTACCATGCAGCCACCTGGCACATGCTGTAGGTGTTAGATTGACGTCTCAATATGCCATACCACAAGATGGCCCCACCCTCTGCCTCAGACAAATCATAATAGGCAACATGGCAAGCAACCTGTCTGTGTGTCCATATGAAAGAGCACATCAATATGTAATATAAATTGCAAGGACATCACAATAGAGAGTGAGCTGAGAGATTGGATCATAATTCAGCAGGAACAAACAGTTTCACAGAGTGGAGAAAATAACCTGGTAATATTGACAAGATTTCCCTTTGTTTAGTTTAATGAAATAATTTTTAATGTAATTAATTACCTCATTTTCACTTTCACAAGAAACCGTTAGCTGCACATCTCCACTGTTAAGCCTAATGCCCAAACTATAACCAGTGAATAAGATAAACAAAGCAAATGTCACATTGATCAATTATTTAATATGTCCCAAACAATCTAATTATCATAAATCTAAATATATTTTCACTTGTATTACCGACTTTCCCTCAAATTTCTTCCAATAAACCATTGAAATTCATGGAAAATTATTTACATTCTGTAAGGTGGGCCAAAAATCCCCATCAGTTGTTGGACATACCCTGGACTTAAAAACCCTCTCAAGGGAGAAGTTATGGGAATTATAGTATATTGGATTAAAGTCACTGGGACTCCAGGAACCATGGGCTGCAACGGAGCCAGGAAAAGGCTGGCTGGGAGAGACTGGGGAATATACAAACCCAGGGGCAGATGTCTGGGACAGGGGCTAGCTAAGCGAAACTAAAAGGAAAACCTCCCATTCATGCCTCAGCTAAAACAATGCAAGCCAGCCTCCCGGAAATAACAACCTCAACAATTCCAGATCCTCTGGAGCCTACACAGGTATCAAACCATTCACTTCCAAATCAGTGCTCAGGCACAAAGGTGCCGAACATTCCACACCACTGAGTTACATGAAAACCTGTTTCACCTTGGAACCTTCACACCACTATGCGAACTGAACAGACACCAGTCCATAGGAAACGCCAGACATTCCAATCGCATCAAAACCATTCTTTCCAATCGAGAAACGATTATCAGTCACTCCAGTACTCAGGAAACCTTTTCAACCCTGAAAAGAGGAACAATAGCTCACAGATTTGGCAGGAGATAAGGGGGAGGCCTGCAGTGGGGTATAACTGGAGACCCCAAGCCCAGCACAAGAGAGAGTGAAGTGGAAGGTGCAGCGAAAAGCCAAGTAAAAACAAGAGAGAAGCAAGAAAAGAGAGTGAGAATCCTACACTGTGAGTGGGGCACCACGAAACCAGTACTACAAAACCAACTACTGAAAACTAACTACAAACCTCCATTCAGAGATAGTAGGAACTGCCGATGCTGGAGTCTGAGATAATAAGGTGTAGAGCTGGACAAACACAGCAGGCCAGGCAGCATCTGAAGAAGGGTCCAGACCCGAAACATCAGCTTTCCTGCTCCTCTGATGCTGCTTGGCCTGCTGTGTTCATCCAGCTCTGCACCTTGTTATTACAAACCTCCGCTCGACGTCCAGAGGTGACCAAAGGCTCCTGAGATGCGACACACCAACCGGGGCAACACCAGCAACATCCTCCACCAGCCACAACAACAACCCGCTCGCAAAACCACCAGGAGGAGGACAAAAGCCAGGGTACTCACCAGGCCGATCCCACCCGTCCAACCACATCGACAGACAGCACCTGACTGACTATTATCAGTACCCGCTGCCCTTCACGGAGCCCCAGCTATGACAAGCAACTACGGTGAGAGCCAGTCGAAATCGCAGTTTTCACACCAGGGGTGAGCCTAAGGTCTCTAACTCAGCTGGGCTAGTCATAGACAGGGAAGGGGAGTTTGGTGTCAACAGTGTAAGTCACCTCTAAGGAAGGGAAGTGGATTAGAACAGGTAACTCTCTCTCTCTTTTCCTCCCACTGGTATAGTAACAGTCACCCATTGTACTTATTTTACCCACTGTATTTAATTAACTGGGAGATGGTCTCAGTCAGAGACTGGGGGGTTTAATTTGATATTCACTTTCTTGTTTTGTAAATATATTAATTTTGCTTGTCTGTTCAATAAAATCAGAGTTTTATTTGGCCTCTGAAAGATCTGCCTCCAGTGTTATTCCACCACATCATATTACATTCATAAGCCCAGTGTCAGAACCAGGGAGCTGATAAGCTGTGAACCAGGCAGCGCTCCCTACAATTCTCTGAAAGAATACATTGTACCTTGTGATTGAAAAATACATTAAAATTAGCACTACTGAGCCCACTAAAAATGTGCAATAACAATGTTTTGCTATCTGCCAATGTCTCTTACTTAACTTGTGACAATTTAAGGGAAACATTTAAGCTAAATATACATGTTGTACTGCAATACCTAACCTGGAAAATCTGAGAATAAGTTGTTAAATGTTCGTGCAATTATTCGATCAGTCACATCATTGGAGCAATTACTGCAAGTTTCACTGTTGACGCCACTCGACAGGTTCAGCAAAATTTCCTTTTTTTTCTCACTAACATTCTCTCTCCAGCTGAAAAGTGGTTGTTGTTATTTTGTTTGTTTTAATTCCCCTTCTTGTACACCAGTGTCCTGAATGAAAGGGGAGGCAACTAATATGCTCCTAAAGATAGTAGGAACTGCAGATGCTGGAGAATCTGAGATAACAATGTGTAGAGCTGGATGAACACAGCAGGCCAAGCAGCATCATAGGAGCAGGAAAGCTGACGTTTCGGGCCTAGATCCTTC